TTCCAGACCTTGGCCACTCTAACTGTGAAGAAGTTCTTCCTAATGTCTAGTCTAAATCTGGTCTTTGCTAGCTTATGGCCATTATTTCTTGTAACACCCAGGGGCGCCTTGGTGAGTAAAACCTCACCAATTCCCTTCTGTGCCCCCGTGATGAACTTATAGGCAGCCACAAGGTTGCCTCTCAGCCTTCCCTTGCGGAGGCTGAAGAGGTCCAGGTGCCCTAGTCTCTCCTCATAGGGCTTGGTCTGCAAGCCCTTAACCATACGAGTGGCCCTTCTCTGGACCCTCTCCAGGTTATCCGCATCCCTCTTGAAGTGCGGCACCCAAAATTGCACACAGTATTCCAGCTGCGGTCTGACCAGCGCCCGATAGAGGGGAAGTATCACCTCCTTGGTTCTGTTCGTCATGCATCTGCTGATGCACGATAAAGTGCCATTAGATTTTCTGATGACTTTGTCACACTGACGACTCAAGTTCATCTTGGAGTCCACTAGGACTCCAAGATCCCTTTCCGCTTCCATGCCACCAAGCAGGTCATTTCCTAGGCAGTAGGTATGCTGGACATTTTTCCTCCCTAGGTGCAGCACTTTGCATTTCTCCTTGTTGAATTGCATTCTGTTGTTTTCTGCCCATATGTCCAACCTGTCTAGGTCTGCTTGTAGTTGTTCCCTGCCCTCCAGTGTGTCCACTTCTCCCCACAAGTTTTGTGTCATCCGCAAACTTGGACAGAGTACACTTCACTCCCTCATCCAAGTCGCTGATGAAGACATTGAGAAGTATCGGTCCAAGGACCGAGCCCTGCGGGACCCCACTGCCCACACCCTTCCAGGTCGAAACCGACCCATCCACCATGACTCTCTGGGTACAACCCTCTAGCCAATTCGCCACCCACCGGCCCGTGCAGTAATCCTCTTCCTCCTTAGGTTTTCTGTGAAGACCCTTCTGGAGAAATACACCACAGAGCCCATTGACGACTCATCAGAAGAGTTTGTCAACTTCGCTGCCATCCTTGAGCAGATTCTGAGTCACCGCTTTAAAGGTACTAGCGGTGCGGTGGCACGGGTGCTGGGTGGGGTTCTGTTCACGGCATGCATGTGCTTGGCGTTCTGTGTATGTATGCACACATCTACGGGAGACATGCATGTGTATCTACACTTGCCGTACGCCTGAGTCTGCATATGGGCACGTGTACCTGTGCATGTATATGTGCGTGCAGACATGTACACCTATTGAATGCATGGAAGGACATGCATGCACGTGTGTATAGCTGTTGAATGCATGTCTGTGTGCAGTTACTGTGCAGGCAGATGCTGCCAAGGGTGCCCATGGTCTTCAGCATGGCTGAGGTGTAAGGCAGGCACATTGGACTCTCCTCACTGGAGCCCCTGCATGTTTGCCCACTCTGACGCAGGTCCTGTCAGCTGGTTCAGCTCCGATGGGCAGCGCGGCTTCTGGGATTACATCCGCCTGGCCTGCAGCAAGGTCCCCAACAACTGCATCAGTAGCATCGAGAACATGGAGAACATCAGCACTTCCAGGGCCAAGGTCAGGACGGGCCCCAGGGCATGCAGCTCCCCACCACCTGTCTAACCCAGCAACCCAGGCAGGTCCTGTAAGGGGAGGAGGGAGCCAGTAGGCACCAAGGGGACAGAGAGTCAGTGCAGGGGGAGGGGAGGTGCAAAGGCCCCTACCAGCCCTAGCAGACAGGAAAAAAAGTCATCATGGCTTTCCCCCTGGCCCCAGAAACTCTCAGGTATGTGACTGAAGGGAGTGAGGGGCAGGGCTTTGCCTCCAAAAGCTGCCCATAAAGCAAAACATTTCAAGAGTGACAGCTAGTCTGGAAGCTCTTGGTCCCCGCCACAGGGGCCCCTGAGTTTCCCCACAGTCCAAGGGAGATGGTGCCTAGACACTATGGCAACAGACACCCTGGGGTTAGACAGGCAAGTAGATGGATATGGAAGCTGAAGCCGTTCCCAGCACCCGGGAGCGAGCGTTCCACTGTCCGCGCCCATGGCTTCTCTGTTGCAGGGCCGGGCCTGGATCCGCGTGGCACTGATGGAGAAACGAATGTCAGAGTACATTGCCACAGCCCTGCGGGACACCAGAACCACCAGGTGAGCAGGATGGACTACAGGGGTCACTCCCATCTACCACAGATCACAAGGGGGTGGCAGGGGTAGCTTTTTGTAGAGACTACAAATCCCATCATACCATGCTCTGTTGATTGGGCTTGTGTGGTCCAGCCTTTGGAGTGAAGGAGGCTCCCCTTCCCCCTTCTTATTCCCTCCCTGGCACAGCCCACACATGCCCTGAATGGGGCATGTGTGCTCATGAAAATGTTCAATGCCTGTGGGTGGCTTACCCACCTGTGCGGCACACGGCTCTCTGGGAGCACTAGACAGCACATCACACTACAGCACCTTGTACGTTTGCAGTAGATTTCTCCAGTTAAGAGGACGAGCATGTACAAGCATGCATTTGGGTGTGGCTGTGCGTAAGAGTGCAAACATGTGTGAGAGTGCATGTGTACACACATGCATTTGTGTGTGAGCATTCATGTGTGCATAAGGTTGTAAACATATGTATACCAGAATATGCATAAAAGTTCATACATGCATGTATGTCAGTGTACATGTAAGCCCCTAGTAACAGTGCGGGTGCCTGTAAGCATGTATAGGTGTCTGTAAGCATGTATGTGTGCAAGCATGCATGCATGTGTGTGCAAGCATGTGTGTATGAGTGTGCATGTGTTCATGTGAAACTCCTTGGGGCAGTATGCTTGTGCATCTCATGGAAAGGCTGCACACTTGCATTTGTATGTGTGAGAGTGTGAATATACCCCTGAGACCAGGTGGGGGCAGGGATCCCAGTGCATGGTTGTGTCCTGGTGGAAATCTGTCTCATGTTGATGTGGGAGGCATGTATCCCTCCTTCCCCTTCCCTGCAGCACTCACAGCACCTGTCCCTCCCCACAGACGGTTTTATGATGATGGGGCCATCATGCTGCGGGAGGAGTCCACGGTGCTCACTGGGATGCTCATCGGACTCAGTGCCATTGACTTCAGGTAGGAGTAAAGGCTTTCCCCTGGTCCCATGTTCCTGGCAGTACCATTGAAGAACCTGGTGTGCCAATAGCTGCTGCTGAAAGCTGGGGTTCTGGATACCCAGAGTAACTGAGAAGAAGGCAGGGACAGGGCACACGTCTCACAGCTAAGTCCAAGGAGTCAGATCCCCCCCACTGGCCCCAGGCTCTCAGTGACTCTCTGCCTGGTCTCTTTGCCCAGCTAGCCCCAGTTCTCCCCTTGCACTCTGGCTCCTTATCACACCTGTGTACCTGAACTCCTTCCCAAACACTTCACTGATTCCCAGTCTCCTTGCCCAGTTATTCCCAGCCTCCTCATCTCCCAGTATCTGTCTCTGTCTCCCTACCTCAGCTCTCAGCCCAAGGGTCCCTCTTCCCCCACTCTCCAGACCCAGCCACTTTCATTCCCACCAGCTCCCTGTCCCACTTTACTTGTTTTCCCCTTCCCCCACCAATTCTGCTCCCCAGTGCTTTCATATCAGCCATTATCCTCTGGCAAGCTACCAGACAAGGGTGGAGTGGAGGCCCTGAGAGCACAGAGAGCCTGGCTCCCTGTTTTATGGCCAGATGCTTGAACCCAAAGCCGCCATTGGAAGGGAAGTCCTGCACAGCCCCCAGCTGGAGTATGCAGGGTGGGGATGAGATTTCTGGGTGACTAAACTGCTGCTGTCCCAGAAATCTCTATTGGGTCTATGTGATGGTGTTTTCTCAAGGGTGAAACATGGGTAGATTTTTATGGGGAGGGCCTAAGGG